CCATGTACCATACAAACTCACAGTATGACTGGTCATTCCAAACCCAAACAGCCCTTTAATCATCATGCTACCATCATTGAACCCATTCCACGTAAACTGGCAAAAGCCTTAACCCCACCTGTTTTATCCGAGCCATGACTGATAAGTTTAATGCTCTTATCAATAATAAAACTTGGGAGCTCGCACCTCTTGTTCAGACATTAATATAATACGGTGTATTTGGATTTTTAAACATAAACTAAGTCTGATGGCACTCTGGAACGCTATAAGGCGCAGTTGGTTTGTGATGGCAGGTCGCAGCAGGTAGGGGTGGACTGTGACGAGACTATCAGCCTGGTTGTCAAATCTGCAACTATTTGGACAGTTCTTAGCATTGCTCTGTTCAATAAATGAGAAACCAATAATGTTTTCAGGCACTTCAGAGAGACGGTTTTCATGCATAGGCTTGAGGGATCCTTCATATCCCAATCATGTTTTCCGTCTAAAGAAATTCCTTTATGGTCTCAAACAAGCCCCCAGAGCTTCAGAAAATTACTCACGGGCGACGCGAGTTTTGTCCAAATAACCCTCAGGTCCCTCTAATTTTAAGAAGACAACGGAGGTCCTTACATTTTGTTGTAACGACAAGGAGGGGGGCCTTCCATCCAATATTTCATCCATAAGCATTAATAAATGTATTTTTTTTCCTATTTTTTCCTTAATGTTTTATGGTAATAACTCTTAGGTCGCTCCTTTCCCATTTCTTTGTTTTTCTTTTTTTTTGTTACTCCTTTTTAATGTGTTTTTTAGGAATTTCTTCTATTAAATCGTACGAAAATTCAAAATGTTTGTATGATATAAAAATAAATGAAATAAAAAAATTTCCTAAAAAAGAAAAGACCAAGTAAAATTAAAAAATTGAAAAATAAGCAAAACAAATTCCATAGAAAGTCTTCAAGATTCTTTTTTAAATACTTTGTATGGAATATTAAAAAAAAGAGAGAGATCTAATTTTCTTTTTTGTTAAGGTCCTTATTTCATTTATTTTTATAGCATGCAAAAATTTAAAATTTTGAAACTATTTACTACAAGAAACTTCGAAAAAATATTTATGAAAAAGGAAACAAAATGAAAAAAAGAGAAAAAAGGAAACAAAGAAACTAAAGTTAGGGACCTAAAAGTTATTATCATAAAACATTAATGGCAAAATAGGAAAAAACATATTTATTAACACTTATTGTCTTCTTGAAAATAGAGGGAATTGAGAGTTATTTTGATAAAACATGCGTCACCAGTGAGTAATTTTCTGCCAGAGCTTGGTAATGTTTCACAGATTATGTAACCGCTTTGAATTTCCACCACAGTGCCTGTGATCACTCATTATATACCTACCGGCACAGTTCAGATACGGCTTATTTGCTCCTTTATGTTGATGACATAATTCCGACCAAATCATCCCCGCCATTGAAAAACCACCTAATGACAAGATTATCTGCAGAGGTTTCAATGTAAGATTTGGGCCCTCTATGCTATCTTTTGGGCATTGTGGTTACTCGAATGCCAACTGGCCTCTTTTTATCTCAACAAAAGCATGCTCACAATATCCTCCATTGTGCTAAGATGGCTGATTGCAATCCTGTTCACACACCAATTGACACAACCGGCAAGTTCTCCATATATGCTGGTGAGTTAATCAAAGATCCAACTACATATCGAAGTTTGGCAAGGGCGCTGATATATATCCGGGAGCATGCCCAAAGACTCTCCGTAGCCCGCCAAGGGAAAGACAGATCAGGGGAATAAAGCCCAAGTGTGGTGACATTAATTGGGTTGAAACTTCTCCATTTTCCTGTCTTAGAACCCAACCCAACACCATGGTTGTCCTACACCCACCCTAGGCTGAGCCCACACTCTCCATACCTTCCCTAAACATCCAAAATATTTCCTTTTCAAAATAAAGTTTTCCTACTCCTATTTTAGGCCCTGGCCGAAAATAAGAGTGTGTAAACCACAACCTTTGTTTGTTGTTATTTTCTTTCTTTTAAACCTTTTAATAAACAAATAAAACCTTCTATCCTTTTCTATAAATCCCAGGCCAAATATCCCTCATTATCCCAACACAACATC